GGTTTTTCTGCTGCGCGCACATCTCCGTTCTCACCGCAGGAATGTTAAACAAAATGCTTTTTTGCTATTTTATAGCCTTCAATCAACTATTTCTTTGCCGGAATCAGAGTTCTGGGAATATTAATTCATTATCCGCTCAACCGCTTGGTTCGATTTATTTTTTATCACAGTTCAGGTAAGCGGCACGTTTATTGTTATCTACACGATCAAAACGGGTTTCGCATTGCTTCTTTTCACTCACTGTTGTTGCCCATCTTCAAGAGGTCGGCTGATGGAGAATTTAAACCGGTACACCGGCTCGAACGGCTGCTGGAGAGTTGCTCGGCACTTGCCTTCTTCGCGGGAGGAGATCAAAGCCTGTCTCCGCTTCTTCCGAAGCGGAGTCATGCCAACCTAACACTCCCTCTTAGGCGCTGCTGCCTGCTTGTCCCCCCCCCTCGCTGGGGAGCGATGCGTTGGGCTAAAAACTGCCCCAACTGTCGAAAGCGGCCGTCACCCACCTCGCATCAGATGACTAGTCAGAACAGGCTTGATGGACAATTGGCCTAGAAAAACTGGGCAGAAAAAGCTAGAGCCAGAAAAGCTGGAGAGAGGGAGGGGGGTGGGGACATCCACTGCCTCAACCAAATGCCTGGTGGAAGAGCTCTGTCTTGCAGGGTTGTCAGATGACTAGTCAGAACAGGCTTGATGGACAATTGGCCTAGAAAAACTGGGCAGAAAAAGCTAGAGCCAGAAAAGCTGGAGAGAGGGAGGGGGGTGGGGACATCCACTGCCTCAACCAAATGCCTGGTGGAAGAGCTCTGTCTTGCAGGCCCTGTGGAACTGCAATAAGTCCCGCAGGACCCTGATCTCACACGAGAGCTCATTCCACCAGGCAGGGGCCGGGGCTAGCCGGATGTTCCTGGGGCCAGGAACCACCAACAGATGTTGTTTTGTGGACCTCAGTACCCTCTGTGGCTCATATGGGGAGAGGCGGTCTCGTAGGTATGCTGGCCAATGGCCGTATAGGGCTCTGAAGGTAAGCACCAGCACCTTGAAACGGATCCAGAATTCAATACGCAGCCAGTGCAGTTCGCGCAGCAGGCGTCACCATCAACATCCACACTGCCACATTCTGCACTAGCTGCAACTTCCGGAGCAGAGTCATGGGCAGCCCCACATAGAGAGAGTTACAATAATCCAGTCTGGAAGTGACCACTGCATGGGTCACTGTAGCTAAATCCTGGGGAGCAAGATACGGGGCTGTTTGATCTGCCTCAGATAGAAAAAGGCAGACCTGGCAGTGGTGGTGACCTGGGCCGTCATAGAGAGGGAGGTATCCAGGAATACCCCCAGACTCTTCACACTCGACGTAGGCACCAATGGAGCCCTGTCAAAGGTTGGGAGCCTGATCCCCTGACCCAGTCCCCCATGACTCAGGTACAGGACCTCTGTCTTAGATAGATTTAACTTCAGTCAGCTCTGTTCTAACCATCCATCCACCGCCTGTAACGCCTCGTTGAGATGGTCGGGGGCCATGTCCAGGTGGCTGTCCATCAGTAGATAGAGCTGGGTGTCTTCTACATATTGGTGACAACCCAGCCCATACGTCCAGATAATCTGGCCGAGGGGGTGCATATAGATATTAAACAGCATGAGGGAGAGGATCGCTCCCTGAGGAACACCACATACTAGTGGGTGTCGCTGGGATAACTCCCCCCCCCAAGTGCCACCCTCTATCCCCAAACCTGAAGGAAGGAGGCTAGCCATTGCAAGGCAAGCCCCCATATCCCGGCATTGGCGAGGTGGTGGGTTAACACCTCATGGTCAACCATATTGAACGTTGCCAACAGATTGAGAAGAATCAGCACTGCTGAGCCGCCTCAATCCAGATGTCTCCAGAGATCATCTACCAGGGCGACGAGCACCGTCTCTGTCCCATGGGTGGGGCGAAAGCCAGACTGGAAGGGATCCAAGACCTTAGCCTCATCCAAGAACACCTGAAGTTGTATTGCCACTGCCCTCTCTACCACCTTACCCATGAAAGGTAGATTAGACACTGAGTGGTAGTTATTAAGGACCGTCGGGTCCAAAGAGGGTTTCTTAAAGGCAAACTACCGCCTCCTTCAGTGTCACGGCTGCTGCTGAACCCGAGCATTTGCCCCTAGCAGAAGATCAAAGTACTGCTGGGGATGAGCATTCGGCCACAACAGAAGACCTAAGTACTGCTGGGAATGAGCTCCCGGCTCCTGAAAACCCCGCACCTGACAGGACTGAAGCCACGGAAACTGCTCCAGCAACAGCTGAAGCAGACTCATGCCGGAGCAAAACGCCCCCTGACTCGCCCCCACCGGTATCCCATTTGCGGGGACAATGCCGACGAGACATGGCATCCCGGCGGCGGGATGCGCGCATGTGCAGTAGGTGCTCTTTTAGCCCTGAGTATTAGCGGGAGCTGGGATGCTAGCTGTGCTAGCAACTAGTCATTCTGGACGAAGCTTTGCACCTCACCACTTGTGTTCCTGTTCCAGCTCCTCATTTTTGACTTCTCAGCTCCTGACCTCGGCTTGCACGACTATGCTCCTGACCTGTACCTCGGACCTTCGACTTCCTGGCTTCTGACTTCTTTGGACTCTGGCTTTAACGACTATTCTAACAGTTGGTGATTTGGACTTGGTTGCTTGGTGTTTCTGCTTGCCCAGTTTTGACTTTGGACTGCCTTTGAGCTATCTTGCTGTCGCCTGGCCTGGTACTATGTTCCTGACATTCAGTTCCTCTGGGAAAGTCCCCGTTGAAAGAGACAGATTTATAATCTCCCTCAGGGGGATCCGCATCTCATTGCCATGGCCTTGATCAGCCATGATGGACAGGGATCTAGGAGGCTGTCAGGATCTTGTCAACTTCATCCTGGGAGAGCAGACTGAAGTGCTCCAAAACTGGACCTGAAGACGGCCAATGGACTTTCAGTTCTCTTATTGTGGCAATTGTGGAAGAAAGGTTGTGGCGGAGTGACAGGACTTTGTCTGCAAAACGGCAGGCAAATGCCTCACAGTCAACAGCCAATTCCCTAGCATTTAGTATGCCTTGAGGCAGAATAGTCAATGTCCAAATAATTCTAAATAATTGGGCTGGGCGAGAGCTAGCAGATGCAATGGAGGGTGCGTAGAAATTTCTCTTTGCGGCCTTCACTGCCATCTCATAGGTTCTCATAAACGGCCTATAGGATGTTCTTGTGGCCTTGTCATGAGTTTGCCGCCACCCTCTCTCTAGTCGTCTTAGCTCTCATTTCATTCGCCATAGCTCTGGGGTATACCACGGGGCTAGTTTGGTATGAGGGCGAAGAGGGCGCCGGGGAGCAATCTCGTCAATGGCTTTGGAAAGATGGGAATGTCAGTCTTCCACTAGCACATCTAGCGAGTCGCCAGAGGGACTTGGATCCCACAGAGCTTCCTGGAACCTATTGGGGTCCACGGGCAAGCATAAATTCACTTGCTGCGTAAACAGGGAGGGTTGCAAAACCCAGCCAAGCCTTCAGAGCAAGGAGCCTTCAGAGGAAACCCAGCTAAGCCTTAAAAGCATGAACTGATCCTAAAAAGTGCAAACCAGAAAAAAAATTAAAAACTCACATGAAAACTTACTTCTTGACCATCTTGTTCCGTTTGGCATGTGAGAAGTTCTCCAGCTGGAGGGAATCATGGGTAAGAAAGGCTACTGCCAAGTGAAAGTAATTATTCCACAGCTGAGCGGAAGGGAATTGAAAAGGGGAAAATATATATTACAGACTTGTTTAAATTTGGATAATTCATGCCCCATTTTTCTCTCTGTAAGGACCCAAAGTAGAATACAACACTGTTTTTTCTTCCTCTATTTTAGCCCCACAACCTGAGTCTTTCAGATTCTGCAGCAGCTATGCTGCAAATTTGGTGCTTCCACCTCAAAAAAACAGCCCCCCTCGAACCCCAGATACCCCCAGATCAATTCCCCATTATATTCTATGGGGACCACTGACTATAATGGTGGACCCCCCAAAATTCAGGAATCCTGAATATGTACTGGAATAAAATACCATACTGGTACTGGGATTTGGGAAAATCAGGAAATACTGATATTTTTCGGGTTCAATATACCTGAACCCGAAAAATACTGGGTTGTTTTTTTTTTGCAAACCCCTACTTGCAACTGAAGAGCAGTCTGAAATGCAAAGCTTGCCAGCCACTGCATCCCTTTCACTGCCACTTCTCTTTGCCAATGTCCTCCCCACAATCTCTGCATATGCAGTGAAAGAACAGCTTCTCATATCAGCCATGCACTGCCTCAACCCAGCACCACTCAGCAGAGTTCTCTACCCAAGTGGAAGAGTTTTTAGTTAATAAAAAAGTTTAAAGACTTCTTTGAAAGAAACTGTATTTACCCAAAATGATCATTACTAACGTCTACTACAAATCCTGAGAAACCAAGAAAATTTATGGCAAGAGGTGCTCATAACCCAATCAGGACTGAAATTCACTACTACCTGCAGTTCAAAACTTGTCTGATCCAAAAAGAACCGGTGGAGCACAGAAGTATACTGGTTTATGGCTCGAAGAAAAACCCTGGAAAAGTCAAGGAAATATGGATGAGGAAATGCTATAAGCCTCTCTAACTCCTGTAAAACCAGAGGAGGTGCCTGGAGGTGTTTTCACAAATTATCAGTCCCTGTTTCTATTTTATATTGCCTAAGAAGCAGAGATCACTCCTTAACTGCAAGATGATTCTGAGAGTTCAAACCAACCAATGGGGCCCTGACCTGGATAGCCCAGGCAAGCCTAATCTCGTCAGATCTAAAAAGCCAAGCAGAGTCGACTCTAGCAAGTACTTGGATGGGAGACCTCCTTGGAATACCAGCAGTCGGGAGAACAGGGGCAGGCTTTATTCAGCCACCTCTCTGAATATCCTCCAGGCCCCCAGTAGGGTTCAGTCACCAGAGGTCGCCATGACTTCCAGGTGCATTCACACTCAAACACACACACTTAAACACACATACACACACCCTGAAAAATACAAACCCCCACCAAAAACAAAAAACAAAGCAACAACCACTACCAATGGTAAAGAGATATTTCATCTCATCAGATCTCAGAAGCTAAGCAGGGTCATCCCTGGCTAGTAGTTGGATGGGAGACCTCCAAGGAAGACCGTGATGTGGAGGCAGGCCATGGCAAACCACCTCTGAACATCTCTTGCCTTGAAAACCACACTGGGTCACCATAAATCAGCTATGACTGGACAGCACTTTCCACTACTGCCAATGGTCCAGGAACAAAAGGAAGTTTTGCACTTGGTTTAATTTCTAGCCATGCTTAATCTGGCATATCCAAGTGTGCTAACAATAAACACAAAGAACACAGAGAGTTAAATTAACATTTTTACTGTAAGAGTACACATAATGACCACAGTGATTTATGCCAGCTGCAAATGAAGCAAAGCCAGGTCAAAGCAGGGATTTCTATATATTCAAGAAACTCCCCAGGAATGCAAAAAAAAAATGGTTTTATATATGAAGAACCCCCACCCACAAAGGGCTTTCATAGGGTGCTACATCACATACACAGCCCTCACTACACAGTTGTGTCTGATGAAGAAACTGCCATATCAACATGTACTTTATCTCCAACTATGCAAGACCACAGGAAAAACGTTTTGGGCCACGAATTAGTGGCAACAGGCTTATTACCTGCTCTGCATCATAGTCATAACCATCCAGTCATTTGCATAGACATTCTTTCCAATCAGATCCTTAAACATGATGAAGGTTTCCATCAAGAAATCCTAGAACAAAGAAAACAACCTAGGCTGAATAAGAAGCAGTAGCAATTATATTAGCTTCATAAGCACTGGGTATCCCATGAAGCATAGATATTTACAAATCTAGAAAACAACATACCACAAATGAATATGGTTTGCTTTGGAGATGCCCACAATGAAGCATGCATCTCTTCTAGCAAATTCCCAAGATCCTTGCTTTGAAACCTAAGGGATTAGAGGAAATTACCCTCTTTCTGTGCTACCAGTCATCTTCAGGTATATACACTGTTCACAGTTAAATCTCTGTATTAGAAAACCATGGCATGTAAAGAGAATTAGGTATGGTTTAAGACACAGATGTTCAAGTTGCATTGAACTATAAACAATAGACTCATACTGTTCTGCCACAGGCAAAGTGCCTGCATAGGGCACAGTATAGCTGTTTTCCCCTTAGTGCATGAATATGGACACATAGCAGCTATTACTGCAGATCATTATGAAGCTATGTTATCCTACAGAGCACAACAGAGTTCTGTTTCTCCTGCAAGTGCATGTATATGGATACAGAGTATTCCAAGTCATTTATGGGACCTGTGAGGCCCACGAGCCCCTGCTCCCTCTGGTCAAGGAACACTAGCTTATACTTCAAGTTACTTCAGAGTACAGGAACAAGATGGAGGAGGAAGAGGAGGACGGAGAAGGTTGGATTTATACCCCTTGGAGTTTCAGAGTGGCTTACAGTCTCCTTCCCTTCCTCTCCCCACAACAGACACTCTGTGAGGTAGGTGGGGCTGAGAGAGCTCTGAAAGAACTGACACAAAGTCACCCAGCTGGCTGCATGTGGAACAGGGAATCAAACCTGGTTCTTCAGATTAGAGTCCGTCACTCTTAACCACTACACCAAACTGGGCTGTGGGAAATCTGAAGAGGCTTGGTGTGGTGAGTACTCATTGTATGTGCCATGGGAGCCTCTGCTTTGTTTTATGGGATCTATCCCCACACAGGTGCTGCAGCCATAGAGCAGAACTGGATCAAGCCCCACAATGTACTGGCTAAATGTCTCATTGTTGAAGACAATAGCTTGTGTTCAAAATCCAAGCCATTTTTTTCAAAGTCTGTGTCCCTCTTTCAAGGAAGCTGCCTTGTCTTTGACTGGGTTCGCTGCTGTTGGTGGGAGGGTGACAGTGGGACAAGGCAATCCAGGACACTGGAAGCCCTACAAACATTATTCACTATGAAATGTACGACAGGAAACAAAGCATTACTGAACTGGCAAACGAAACTGATCTGAAAAGAGGAAAGGACTTTGGAGCTTAAGAAAGTTATTTCTAAGTGCTATTTAATCAATGCCTGAAGGATATGACAGGAGGCCCCAAAAATGAGAATGAGCAAGCAACAGTGTTAATGCAAATATTCAGGACAGCTCCATCATCTGGACTTTCAAACACCTCAAAGGTAATTTAACACAAAAGTTCGTCTTTTCCAAGGGAGTTCACTGAACACAAGATTGTGCATGTGATGGGCAAGATCTGCCTGACATCAGTATTTTAAGGTGCCTAAATTATATTTGTGAGGGGAGGGGGAGGAAAGAAAAGCTTTTTTCTTATGTATATTTCTTATACTGTCATCTAGAGAGTAAAATCTTTCTATCCCTTCCACTTCCATGAGCTGTCAATCTCCCTTAAGTATTTTACAATGATCTAGGTCACATTTTCCAGTTCCTGGTTAGACTAGCCCTTAGAGATGAAAATTAAATAATCTTCCTGAAACAATTAGCATGAAGATAATGGAAAACTCTCTTATACAGGGCTTTCCCGATTGACTTTTAAAATTGTCCTGCCTTTTGTAATCTCTGTAAGTTGCTACATACTGATTGGGCCACATTACAAAAAGGGTGGAGTAGGTGGAGGTTGTCACTCCCTCCAGAATCTTGAAGTTTCTCCTCCCTAATAAAGGGTGGGACTCCAGTTATCAATGGAAGCATAAGAAATGTACTTCAGCCTCCATAAGTATACCATTATGAATCATGCTTTACAACGTAGAGTGCTTTGAGCAATATTAGCTTTTCTTTTAATGTCTGAATTCCAAGTGATTTGATTTCCTACTAATAAACTCATTTTTATTCAGTACATTTTTTCATTATTTATTATTACGGTCCAAGACTAACAAGTATGATACAAAAAGATAGATAAAATATATGAAACAATATAATACACTAAAAGTTTCAAAATCATAAAGTAAATTTCAGTGTTAAAATATAGAGTCATAATTCTCATAAATAACAAAGTTAGGGAGATCCCTCCATATACTAGTTATTGGTTCGAGATCTCCTTTGCTTCAATGCCATCCATCCATATTAAGCAACCTTATAAGTTATGTTCTGGTTCTTGTCAGAAAGCATTATGGAAAGAAGTGTAGCTCTACATCTCCCCGGCTAAGCTAGAAATATGGGCATTATGTAAACTTCGTGTATGTGATCATACATCTTACAGTTGAAGATAACACATTCTAGTGTTTCTATTTTCTCATCACCACAGGGGCATAGTCATTCTTCTAACAGATCTTTTTTTGGTATCTTCCTTCAAGGACTGCTGAGGGTAAGGTATCCCAGTGCAGTAATGTAAACGTTTTCCTGTGTTCATAATTTGCTAAATTGTAAAGATAAAACATAGGTGTTATCCTGTTCATAGAACTTGAATCGAACAGGAATTTTTGAATCCTTTTTATATCATGTTGCCTTTCAATGTCAAGTATACTCTGATCTACCACCATTTTGAGACATGGGGTATTTGACATTTCTGTGTGGATCCCAATTGTACACAAGATCCACACCATATCAGTCAGACTACAGTTGTATCTCTTATCTAACACAATAAAAACATTTTAAAAATAAAATAATCTCTATGAATTTTATTTAAAAAGTGGGATTATGGATAAAACAGCTAGTTGCCGTTGGACAAATGTTTTGTCCCAAACAGACAGTGTGTGTCGGCTCCAAAATTACCAGTTTCTTAAGTAACAATTCAAAGCAAACACAGGAAACCTGATTGATTTAATGAGCCATTTGCAGTTTATGTTCTGCTCCATCAACAACTCCTTGGTCTTTCTCCAAAAGAACATTGGCCTGGAAAATTAAAGATTGATTGCTTTTCTTGAATACGAAGGGCAATGAGCTGAACCAGACTTTTGGCTTCTTGAGCCAGGGTAGCCCCTGCTGACACAAAACAGCTTTTTGAAAAGGTGCCTCTGCAAAACCTGGTTGGAGAAAACGTTCAGGAAATGGTTTCACAATCTACAATCCCACGCATATTTGTAAGGAAGCAAAGCCTGCTGAAATGAGTGAGTCTTACATGGAAATAATCAACAAAAACGAAGCTTTGCTGTTAATCCAGGGTTGATTATCGCTTTTCGCTCAGCTGAAAAGCTCCAGCCCTTTCCAGGTCAAACACTCTTGAACACCTGCTTCCTGTAGGTGGCTACACTGTTCAGGAGATCCAGTGCACTCAAAGAAGCACAGTAAGGAAAGCAAAACCTAATTATTTCACTATCCAGGCATCTGAGGATGACAGAAGGAATTCAATACTCAGGCTGCATAATCTGCTTCACATTATGGGACATCTCTGCCATTTAAAATGAAGGCCCACGGTGCTGATCTTAAAGATGTGGTACCCTAGACTCAAGAACATCCAGGGGAGCACATTTATATATTCTATAAATTTCTACACAATTCTTGCTTCCTGCCACCCCCTAAACAAATCCTATCACTATCTACCAGCAACAGTGATCTTGGCAGAGTACGTGTGGTAAGTTTTCATTTAAAGAAAGAGTCATATATAAGCCTCTGAAATAATGAAGAAGGCCCCACAAGAAACTTGCTGCTGAAAAGAAAGGGAAA